ATTCCTGGGCCGCCTCCCTTCCCAGCCTGGTTCCTGCTGCTCCCCCTTCCCCATGCCTGCAGGTGAGTTTGAGCTGTTTCTTCACTGGGCATGTCACGAGTTGCGGCTGCACCCTGCAGCCCCCCAGCGCGACGCCCCCAAGCATCCCTGCCGGTGGGCCTCGGCTTGCACACCTCTAGTGACGGGAGCTTCCTCCCTCACGAGCTCCCCCAGACCCCCATGAGCTCCCTCCCACCCTCCTTGCCCTGCTCCCCTGGGCTTGTTCCCCGGGCTCGCGGTCCATCTGGCAGACTGAGCTGTCAGAGACCCTGTGCCTGAGGTACCTCTTCTCACTCCGAAGTTCCTCTTGGGCTCTGGCCCCCGGGCCCCCCATGCTGGTCACCCCACTGGCTCCCCAGACCTAGCCCAGCAATTGGAAACAGAAGTAGGAGATGAGGTCCAGGAAGGTGTCCCCACCCTGGTTGGAGGAGGACACAAAAGGAAGCGGTGAAAGAGGCATCCCCCCACCCCCGGCAGAGAGAGGACTTTCGGTGCTGGTCACTGGCCACATCTTAACAGAGCTGCTGACTCAGACTCCAGCACCCGCTGAGCCTGGCCTGAGGGTGAGGCCCGGGCACCCCTGTCCCGTGTAACTGGCACCGCCAGTTGTCAAGGTCAGTCTGTCCCCGTTTCCCCGAGCCCCGCGGAGGCTTGGTCCTATTCCAAAGACTCCGGTCTCAGGCGCAGCCTCTCACCACGCTGCTCCCAGCTCTTTTCCTCAGATCGAACAGGTTGGACTTGACACCTGCTGAAAAGTCCTATGGCAGCACCCCCACAGAATGCTCTTCACTCCAGAACAAGCCCCCGAGCATCAAGAGAACGGCGGGGGCGTTAAAGAGAGCAGGGCTGAGACCCCTGGGTGGGCAACTCTCCGAGCCTCTGCGAGGGGAACGGGCACAGCAAGTCGGACAGGGGCAGACCCAGAGCTGCTTTCCTGTGGAGGCCTGGGTGGGGCTGGGCTCTGGGGAACACAGGACACTCAGGGGGGTGTGCCCGCCACCTCCTTGCCCTTGGCCAGCCTCCCCGAGGTACCTCTGCCCCAAGGACCCATTCTGTTTGCGTACGCTGGCGATTTTGGTGCCAGGAAGATGGGAAGGGCGGGGAACCCGAGGTGGCCCCCCTAAGGGAGGCCGCTAGGGTGTGTGTGACCCTGGCTCCGCCTCTCACGGGCTGGGCCTTCACCTCTCTGCACACAGGAGGTGCTCTACTTGTGCACCAAAATGATGGCTAAAAACAGAGACCGCTCAGCACTGGGAACTCTGCATGCGCTCCGAAGCCTGTGTTTCAGGAACAAAGCGGCCTCAGGATGAGCCCAAGCCCCAGAGGAAGTAATAGGACCCTCTGGGGGTCACGGCACCTGCTGGGTGGGCATCACCTCGTGCTGGCGACCAGGCCAAGCCCTTTCTGGCAAGGTCTCGTGTATGGTCAAAACAGCCTGAGGCCAGATCTTCCACTTTCCAGGAGAGGTCACAGCTCCACGCAGGAGGCCGACTTGAGCCCAGCCCCGGGTGTCTCCAAAGACAGCCCCGCCAGTGCAGCACGCTGGCCCTGCGGCCTTCAGAGGAAGCAGACCTCAAGTGCAGCGAGGGCCTGTCCAGGACAGAGGCTGGGGCTCTCCGTCGCCCCCTCCCCTGGGGGTTACAGGAAGACAGGGGAGATTCTGGCTAAAAGCCTCTGACAGGAGAACAGAGGGCCCTCTCAGCTCCGTGACCCTGGGCAGGGCAAGGCACCTCTCTGAGCCTCAGGCTCCCCATCTGCAAACTGGGCTGCTAGCAGCTACCTCTCCAGCATCATTCACTACGACTGAATGTGCAGATGGGGCTCTGCCTCCTTGGGAATGCCTCAGGCCTTCTGGAACCCCCTAATCCCATCCCCTACCCCATCTGGGCCTGTCGGCTCAGGGGCTGTCATAGCAGCTAGACAGGAGGTGCGAGGCGCTGTTTGCTTGAGGCCCAGGCTGGTGTAGCGGGCTGCCTGGGGGTCAGAGTGGGGGAGGCCCCATCCCAGGCTCTAGCCTCAGCTGTAGTGAGGGGGCAGTGGGCTCGCACGGCCCCTCGGCCTTCATTCTGATGAGCCTCTGCCCCCTTTCCACCTCCCACCCTTCCAAGACACCCCTCCTTCTCTACTGTGCTCCCACCGGGCTCCACCAGCGGCCAGCAGTCCCCTACCTGGTTACAGAGGCTCACGGTCTCCCCTCCGCAGCCTGGCCCGGCCCGGCGGCCCCGCCCTCCTCTTCCCTGCACGCTTGGATCCTGCCTCAGCAGCCCCCACCCGACCCTGCCTGGGGAACAAGCACCCCCCTGGAAAGCCTTCCCTGACGTTCTCTCCAGAGTTAGCTGCTCCCTTGTCATGGGACCTGCCCTCAGGGGGATGACAGACGGGGCATCTGGCTCCCACCTGGAGCCCCAGGGCCCAGCATGAGGCCTGCACAGAAGGATGGGGCACTGAACGAATGGATGAATGAATGAGTGAATAAGCGAGTTGGGGGGCTGAGAGGTTAGTGGAACATTCGATGCGTCACCCAATGTTTGAACATCAGTGCGTGTTGGGGGGAAAGGTGCGGGGTGAGCTATGGGAACACGCAGTAGGTTGATTGCTCCTGTCCCCCTCTGCCCACCCCACTGAAGGGGCACAGCCTGGCAACGCAGGGGCCACGTGGATGAGGGTTTTGGGTGGGAGCAGAGGGCGGGCCTGTGGGAGTGGGCTGGCATCACTCTGGAGCAGCCTAGCGGGAGGGCAAGCTGCTGGGCTGGGCTGGCCGGGCACAGGGCAGGTGAGGGAACAGGACAAACAGGCGGGGCTGGGGAAGGTTCTGCACCTTCTGGCAGGTGCTGGGAGGAGGGGCTGGTGTCCCTGAGGAAATCCAGGCTCTGGCTCAGGAAGTTGAGGCCCCAGACCTCCCTCCTCTCAGAAGGGCCAATTAGCATGGTGCCCGCTTCCCAATATCAAGCAGGACAGTGCCAAACAGGGAGCCTTGAGACTGGACTGTCCACACTCTCGAGACAAAGCAAGGGCATGGGGCAAATCCTGCAGAGCCCCCTCATGGCCCTGATGCTTTAGGCCAGGCCACCACCTGCCCACGTGATCCCCGTCTGTCCTGGGTTTTCAGCTCTGGATTCTCCCAGACCTCCAGCCACTGGTCTTGCTTAGCAATGACCTTCTGGCTTCCAGAAAACACTGAACCTTTGATATCCTCCTCTGGGCCCTGCCAAGACCAGGGTGTGCACGCTGACCGAGGAGCCAGAACCCCAGGGCCAGGGCCTCGGTTTGTCGGGGATCCCCAGCTGGCTTGCCCCCTGCCCTGCACCCCTCCAGCCAGGCCCTGGGAAACTCAGACTGTAAGCCCAAGGCTCTAAGACACCAAACCCTGGGGTCTCGAGGTCAACATTTGGTTTCCAGGGTTCCCTGATTTGAAGACGCTATGATGTTCCTACTATGTCGTTCTGGACCAGTCCCACGGTCCTCAAATTCTAATATGTGTAACGACATCCAGACGGCCTTTCTCCACCTCCGCTGCCACCCTGGGCCCAAACCATCGTCACCTCGAGCCTGTCCTTCCCGACCCTGCCTAGAAACCCGTCCCAACAGTGGCAGGGACTGTCTCCAAACGAAAGTCTGGCCTGTGCCCCCTTGCCCAAGAGTGTCTGGGGCCTGGCCGAGGCTCACAGGATGAAGGGCCAACCCCTTCTCCTGGACCTCCCCTGAACCTTCCCCAGATCTGGGCACACTGGCTGCTTTGGGTCCTGGAACCCCAGGCCTCTGCACAGCAATCATGTTGCCTGGATTAGAGCCTCTTCCTCCATCCTCCCCGCTCTCCCTACCCCCTGCCCAGACTTTAATTTTTAAAGTCTGTCTTCTTTACTCAATAGAAGATCCCTGGGCACAAGGAATTTCTGTTTCATTCCCTGGTCTCCCCTGCACTTGCACACAGGAAGAGCCCAGAAAACCCATCTGGTGCATGTGTGAACGAGAGGACTTCCTGACTCGGGGGCAGTGGGAGTGAGGAGGGTTGGCTAAAGGCAAATGAGCAGCTCTGGGTAAAGGGTCCAGTTGTTTCAACACAGGAAGCATGGTCGGAGGCTCAGACTGGCGGGCCTGGAGCTGTGTGGACAGCTCCCTTCAACATCTCCCCCTACCCCAGACTCAAGGTGGGGTGAGGATGGATGCCCCTCTCGCCAGCAAGGATGGGCAGGGGGCAGCAGTCAGCGCCCCCTTAGGTGCTCCTTGTGGGCCATGTGACTGCCGAGGCCCCTTTTCAGCCCAGACAGGTCAGCTCCCAGCGGCGAGCTCCTGGCCTCGAGTCCGGAATTAAGCCCTGCCCTACCCCTCTGGTCCTGCGTCAGCGCTGTGACTTGGACGGGGTGTGGGTGGCCCGATTCTACCTTCTTCTGTCCTGGCTCCAAGGGCAACTGGCTGGACCTGCTGTGACACTGCTGGGCTATGAGGACGGCTGGGTCTGCGGTGGACCCTGGCCAGCCCTCCTGGCATTAAGCCCACGTGGCAAGGCCTCAGAGAGCCCCAGCCCACCCGGAACACACCTCGCTCTAAGTGGGCTGAGCGGAGGCTACAGAAGGATTTTTTTTTCAAATCAATAGGTGGAAGAACGGTTATTTCTGTCAATAATCACTAGGTTCTTCCCAGCAGAGCAGCTGGGGAGAAGTAATACGCTGTCTATTTTTACAGGCTTCAGAAGCCCATCTCAGACTATTTAAAATCACCCTGAACCTCTGCTGTCAATCTTCTCAGCCACTGGGCTTTGGAAGTTCTAGCTCCTTTGCCCTTCCATGCTGGCCCCCGGGCCTGCCCGCTTCCCGGCAGAGTGATGGGAGGAGGGCAGCCGGCCTGGGCAGGGATCTGAGGGCTGGTCTGGGGAGTGCTGAAGGCTTGCACCTCACTTCTTGCAAGGGTTGCCTCCCGGCCCAAGGCCTGCAGCTCTAGGGGTTCCATAACACCCCAGGTCTTTGTCTGGGCTGGTGCCCCCGTGCTGCAGGGCTGGCCCCTTCAGTCCTAGGGCTCAGCCAGCTCTGGCTTCCCAGTCCCTTTGCTTCCTGTTTCCTGAGGGGTCCCCAACACGGCTGAGCCCCCGCGGGCCCTCAGGAACCTCGGAGTGAGCCGGGGACAGTGGGCAGAGAAAGCTCACCCTTCTCTGGCTTCCAGCAGCTGGCAGACTGGCCCATTCCTCACCTTCCCAATCCCTATTTCTAATTTTGCATCCTTAGTCCTCTGGTTGAGATGCCCCCGCACCCTTCCCTCTTCCAGTGACGAGGACACACAGTGTCCTCAGTTTTCTAACGCCGACAAGAAGACCATCCTGGCCTGGTCCGAGCCCTGTGCCCTGCTGCCCCCAGCTCTGCAAAACGCACCCCGGCCAAGGTGAGCGAGCACAGGAACCGGCCTCGCCCTGCCCGCTGGGAGGCCACAAGGAACCTCTGCCGGCCCAGGAAGCCCGAAGTAAAGGCACCGCGTTTGTTCAACCCAGGGTGAAGCCCCATTCTTCGATATCAGAGCCCCGCTTGAACCTGTCGATATACAGTGGAACCGGGGTTCCCTTGAGCCTGCTGGGGAGCGCTGGCGCTGACTCTCCTGCTTCTCATCTTCGCCAACAGAAATGCACATGACAGCTGACCACCCTCGCCCCTGAAGCCACGTGTGGTCGCACACCCAGCCCAAGTGTGCCGCCCCACTCCTGCCCTGCCTGCAGCACCCGGGGCCCGGCGAGGGAGGTGGTGCGCGCTGACCTTTGCATGTCTTCCCATCCGGCTGCAGTGTGAATCCAACCGGGCAGCTGCATCGCACGCCAGTGGCGCTGGCCCCCGGGCCTGCCCGCTTCCCGGCAGAGTGATGGGAGGAGGGCAGCCGGCCTGGGCAGGGATCTGAGGGCTGGTCTGGGGAGTGCTGAAGGCTTGCACCTCACTTCTTGCAAGGGTTGCCTCCCGGCCCAAGGCCTGCAGCTCTAGGGGTTCCATAACACCCCAGGTCTTTGTCTGGGCTGGTGCCCCCGTGCTGCAGGGCTGGCCCCTTCAGTCCTAGGGCTCAGCCAGCTCTGGCTTCCCAGTCCCTTTGCTTCCTGTTTCCTGAGGGGTCCCCAACACGGCTGAGCCCCCGCGGGCCCTCAGGAACCTCGGAGTGAGCCGGGGACAGTGGGCAGAGAAAGCTCACCCTTCTCTGGCTTCCAGCAGCTGGCAGACTGGCCCATTCCTCACCTTCCCAATCCCTATTTCTAATTTTGCATCCTTAGTCCTCTGGTTGAGATGCCCCCGCACCCTTCCCTCTTCCAGTGACGAGGACACACAGTGTCCTCAGTTTTCTAACGCCGACAAGAAGACCATCCTGGCCTGGTCCGAGCCCTGTGCCCTGCTGCCCCCAGCTCTGCAAAACGCACCCCGGCCAAGGTGAGCGAGCACAGGAACCGGCCTCGCCCTGCCCGCTGGGAGGCCACAAGGAACCTCTGCCGGCCCAGGAAGCCCGAAGTAAAGGCACCGCGTTTGTTCAACCCAGGGTGAAGCCCCATTCTTCGATATCAGAGCCCCGCTTGAACCTGTCGATATACAGTGGAACCGGGGTTCCCTTGAGCCTGCTGGGGAGCGCTGGCGCTGACTCTCCTGCTTCTCATCTTCGCCAACAGAAATGCACATGACAGCTGACCACCCTCGCCCCTGAAGCCACGTGTGGTCGCACACCCAGCCCAAGTGTGCCGCCCCACTCCTGCCCTGCCTGCAGCACCCGGGGCCCGGCGAGGGAGGTGGTGCGCGCTGACCTTTGCATGTCTTCCCATCCGGCTGCAGTGTGAATCCAACCGGGCAGCTGCATCGCACGCCAGTGGCCGTGTCCTTGCACGTCCGGTCGCAGCCTCCGTTATTTACTGCACACGTCTCTGAGGAGGGAAAGAGAAAAAGACACTCTCAGTCTCCTTGGACAGAAGCCACTGCCTTTCCCCACCCGTGGGGGGAATCTCCTGAGACAGGAGACCTGAGTTCAAATTCTGGCTCTGGGGACTTCCCTGGCTGTCCAGTGGTTAAGACTCCGTGCTTCCAATGCAAGGGATGCGGGTTCGATCCCTGGTTGGTGAACTAAGATCCCACGTACCGCGTGGTGTGGCCAAAAATAAATGAATGAATGTTTCCAATGCAAATTCTGGCTCTGATACACTCTAGCTGTGGGGCCTCTCTGAACCTCAGGCTCCCCATCTGTAAAATGGGAGAATGACACTGTTTCCCCTCTGATGATGATGGGTGGGAAAACTGTTTGCAAACCGCAGGGAGCGGTGCCAACAGGGTCAACACCACCACCAGCGCCAGTGCTGAGATCGGCTGGGCTGGTATTTAACCGCCCAGGGACAGATTCCTAAACCCTTGCCTTGCCTGGACTTGGACTCCAAACCCAGACTGGCAGTTACTGGGGCTCCCAAACTCGTCTCAGCGCGGAATGGCTTGTGGCCCTGGCCGTGGAGTTGCAAGGGGAGGTTCCCAGAGCCCGCACACCATCCATCACCTTGATGAGGCTCTCAGCCCAGCATCTGTTCTCGCTGAACGATAAGCCAAAGGCGTCTGTTTTCTGTCCACTTGAAGCTAGTCTAGTGCTTTTTTTTTTTTTCTCTTGCAAATTCAAAGGGCTGGAGTGGCTGGGGCATAACTAAGGTCACTGAGCTCGTCGTGCGGTGAGAATGATCCTCCCCAGGCCCGGAGAAGGGGCTGGCACAGCCGGGTCACCAGGGCACGTGAAGGAGCCTAGTTCCCAGGCCTCTGAGCCTTTCAACCTGGGTTTCTTCCTGAGCATCTGGTGTGCTTTGATGTTGTGGGAACTTCCCTCTCCCCTTTGCTGCTAGGAAGGGAAGCGCCAAGGGCCCCCACCTCTTATAACCTGAAATCCCCTGCCCGTCTACCGTGGCTGCCCCTGGCTGCCTGGCTCCAGCTGGTCTCTCCCCAGAACTTTCCCCCTACCCCGTTTATTCTGTCTGTCCTTCTGTGGTGTCTGCATTCCGTTTTTTCCGGGAGGAGTTTGGGGATGAACACAGGAGTGATGACTAAATGAATACATACCCCCAGTTGCCAGGAGTCTCTGCTGCTAATGTCTTTCCTTTGAACTTCAACTTGTAGGGGGTGGACGGAGCAGGGAGAGGAGGAAACTGGGCTTTCCCTCGTGTGTGTGTGTGTGTGTGTGTGTGTGTGATTCTGTGGGGTGACCACGATGGCGGTTGTCCTTAACATCCTGAACTCGGGGGCTGCCTGCTGCACGGGGCCACTGCCCGTTTTCTCGAGGTTGAAGTCTTCACCACGGTAGGACAAGCTGTAACCGCTATCGCAAGGCCAGTCTCCTCGCCCCTGCCTCTTCCCAGGCTTTCAGCGTGTCTCCCCATACTCTAGCCCTCCAGCTTCTGTCTGCCTGCTGTGGGGCATGTTGCCCAGTGGCCGAGAGGCCTCCTGCCTGCTCATGAGACCTCCACGAGGAGCCTCCAGATGCAGAAAGGAGGCCCCCGCCCTCCGTGTGCGCATGTGGGCTGGCCTCGACGTGCGCGTGGGCCAAGCTCTGACCCGCACACGCCTGCGCAGGCCCTCTTGTGTCCCCCGCCGCCCGTCTACTGGGGCAGTGGAGGTGGGGAGGCCAGGGTGTGACTCTGGCTCTGTCGCTCACTAAGTGACCCAGCGAGTCCGCCCCTCGGGGCTCGACCTCAGCACCTACACCTGGCAGGTGAGGATGGCAAGCCTTCCCTCCCAGGGCTGAGGGAAGGATCAAAGAAACCCCACACTCAGCAGCCTCTGGCCCAGGGCCCAGCCTGGAGTAGCTGCTCAACAATGTTAGCTTCCTACCCTGAGGTTACAACCAGAGAGGGAAATCCCGCCTCCCGCCCTCAAATCCAGAGCCAAGGTACCCCCCATGTGCCTTTCCAGCCTTTTATGTGGGAGACCCCCTCTCTGGAGAGGGGGGCAGAGAACCTGCCTGTTTTCCAGGTGCAGGTAGTTAAGGCTCAGGCCTCGGACAGGCAGGGGGAATGCCCGAGAGCAGGAGGCGGGCAGCAGAAGGTGCCGAGAGCTTGAGCTGGGGCACAGCTGGGTGGCCTTACTTGGCGACAGCAGGATGAGCACTGGGTCTCTCCGTGGTGGTGGAGGTGGGACGTGACGTGGGCACCGGGGGCTGTGTCCCTGAGAAATGGACCCGGCCAACCAGGCTCCAGGGGGCTTGCAGGCCCTTCCTGTCTCTGGAGGCCCTGATGGGACTCGGAATCTTGGGCCTCCCGAGTGACCGAGGCCCCCCTGGGGACCTGCTGGCCGCACCTGCCCTCTGGGTAGGAGAAGGGGGCCGAGCCGGGGCCAGGGTCAAGCCTGGATGGTCACCTGCTCTCTGCACCCTCAGGGCAGGTCTCTTCCCTGTAGCAAGCACCCTTTCAGCCTCCTGTGTTACCCTAGACAATGTTTGGTACAAGAGCTCTTTGGGTTCCCCTGGGTGCTGACCAGCCCATCCCACAGGCATCGCTGCACTAGGCTCCCCCACGCTCACAGCAGCCCTGTGGATGGCCCCTCGCCTCCCAGGTGCCGAACACTGGGAATCGGTGCAGAGCAGCGTGGCTGGCGTGGCTGGCAAGGGGCAGGGCTGGTGGGAGCCGGTGGGTGTACTCCAACCCACCAGCAGGCTCAGATCTCCATCCAATCCAGCCCCAGCCAGCCCCAGCCGGGGCCCGCACAGCCAAGCGCGTACCCGGCTCTCTAGCTCCTGCCCAGTGTGCTCCGTCTCCACAAATGCTACTCCATCTGCCCCAAGGATGCGTCCTAGGAGGCGCCTTCCCCGACCCTGGGCCCTTTGCAGGTGGAGAAACTGAGGCTCAGGGGAGTAAAGGACCTTTTCTAGGCAGGATTAGCTACACGATTTGTGGGACCCAGCGTGAAATAAAAGTGAAGGGCCCTTGTTCAAAAATTGTTAAGAATTTTCTGACAGACAGCCGAGCACTCAGCCAACTGTGGGCCCTTCTACGGGCAGGGCCCCGGGTGAGCGCACAGGTCACACAGCCATTGGGAGAAGCCGGTACTGGAACCCAAGACTGCGAGACTCCAGGCTGTTGAGTGAGCCAGGCCTCCGGGGGGGACCCTCGGGGGCGGCCTGCAGTGGGGCAGCAGAGCCAGTGGCCTGAGGGGGCAGCGAGGTGTGCCCACGGGCCTCCTCACCCAGCGAGAGGGGAGAACTCTCACCCACAAGGCTGGGCTGGCGAAGGGGGGAAGGCGGGGCATGGCGTTGGGGGACTGAAGTGGGAAGAGGCTTGGGCGTGAGCCCCTTTTCGGCAGATGGGAAAACCCCAGATGTGTTAAAAGGCCAATCTTTAGTCTTTCCCTGGGGGAATTCCGCTTTAGGCCAAGCTGGGCGGGGTCGGG